GTAATGTACAATACAATATCATGCACTCAGCTGAATGTGATTTCATCTGTGATGCATTTTGAAAGGAATTAGTCCAACTTGCTTGAATGTAACCGTGCAAGGGCAGCACATCTCAAATTTTGTTTTTTGTTTTTTTTTAATTACAGAACAAAGTGCATAAGTTGGTGCTGGTTATATACACTCACAGAACACTTTATTAGGTACACCTTGCTAGTGCCATGAAAATATTCCCCACCTTATTACACCACCACCACCAGCCTGAACCATTCATACAAGGCAGGAAAGATCCATGATTTCATGATGTGTACATCAAATTCTGACTCTACCATCTAAATGTTGTAGCTGAAATTGAATGCCCATTCTCCTCTGACCTCAACAAGGCATTTTCGTTTCGGCCACACAACTGCTGCTCACTAGATATATATATATATATATATACACACACACACACACACACACACACACACACACACACAAGTCAGTGTGACCATCGGGTTCTTGGTCACCTACCTCTCTTACTAAGGCCCACCCCCCATTGCTCAGACTGGCCTGAAGACCAGCTCTTGGAAGAGTCCTGGTTGTGCCAAACGTCTTTCATTTGAAAACTATGGAGGCCACTGTGCCCTTGGGACCCTTCAGTGCAGCAGAATCTGTGCCTTGCAATAATCCTGTTCTTTTGATCTTATGGCTTTTTCTCCGACACTGTCACAGCATTGTCAGCTGTGAGGTCTTTTATACAGATGCGTGTGCCTTTCCAAATCATGTCCAATCAATTCAATTTCCCACAGGTGGACTCCAATCCAGGTGTAGAAACATCACAGCAACAATCAAGAGAAATAGGAGGCACTCCAGCTAAATTTCAAGTGTTGTTGCAAAGGGTCTGAATACTTATACCAATGTGATAATTTAGTTTTTCCTATATTTGGAAACGTTTGTCATTATGGGGTACTGAGTGTAGATTAACCACTTGCCTACAGGGCACTTATACCCCCTTCCTGCCCAGGCCAATTTTCAGCTTTTAGCGCTGTCGCACTTTGAATGACAATTGCGCGGTCATGCAACACTGTACCCATATGTAATTTTTATAATTTTTTTGAGAAAGATAGAGCTTTTTTGGTAGTATTTAAACACCTCTGTTTTTTTTTTATTTTTTGCTAAACAAACCAAACATAACTGAAAATTTTGAAGAAAAAAAACGTTTTTTTCTTAGTTTGCTATAAAATTTTGCAAATAAGTGATTTTTTTCCTTCACTGGTATGTGCTAATGAGGCTGCAGTGATGGGCACTGATAGGCATTGAAAGGCAGCACTCATATACGGCACTGATAGGCAGCATTGACTGGCATTGATAGGTGGCACTGACTGGCAGCTCAGATGGGCACAGATATGTGGCATTGATGGGCACTGGCAGGTGGCACTTCTGGGGCTACACTGATCATCAGTGCCCTGATCATAAGTGTACATGTCCCCTCTGAGGAATGCCGATTACCGGCTCTCCTCTCCTCACGAGCTGTCAGCGTGACAGCTCGTGAGGACAGGAATGCCGATAACCGGCATTTCCTTGTTTACATGCGATCAGCTCTGATTGGACAGTCTCTTTCTGTTGACCGGTGATCAGCTGTGTCCCAGGGTCACAGTGCACCACCGATCGCCGCGCACACGCAGTTAGAGTGGGAGGACGTCATATGACTTCCTCCCAGAATGAGAGCACTGCCTTGCGTCCGTCATTTCCTTATATGCTGGGCGGAAGGCAGTTAATGAGAGAACAAAATGAATTTAAAAAACTGTAGTATCAGGCTTCAACAAAACACAATCAGAAAAAAGTGAAGGGGGTCTGAATACTTTATGAATTATCTATATGAGCCTTCAGGATGGTGCAAGAGTGTATTCTCTCGAGATTTAAGATCATTCCCAAGATCTTATCGAAGGATCATGACCTCTCATTCCACTAGGTACGGTGGATGGAAACTGAAAGGATACATCTAAGGTCTCTTCCCACAGGTATGTTTTCTTTATATCTCTCATAGATCAATTTATAAAGGGAGGATCTGTTGTATTGAGCTGGCTTTACTTTATAGTGCAAGGTCCACTTTACCACAAAAAAAGTCATTCTCACAATTATTGTAAGATAATGTTTTGTACGGTTGTGTTCCCATTTGGGTGACTTTCTCTTGCTTTATTTCCCTTTGGGGCAGGAAGCAAGGATTTCTCTTGCTTCATTTCCCTTTGGGGCAGGAAGCAAGGATTTCTCTTGCTTCATTTCCCTTTGGGGCAGGAAGCAAGGATTTCTCTTGCTTCATTTCCCTTTGGGGCAGGAAGCAAGGATTTCTTCTATACAAACAAAGAAAGGACACTTTTTTTATGAGAATAGGAAAGAGCTCGAACGAACCTCTGTGAGAATCTGATTTCTCTCGGTTTCTTTATTGGTGAGAAATCCCCTCAATTCCTATCCTGGTAATATCTTACTGTGAAGGGTGTCACCAGAACAGGCCGTAAGAGGAAATCCCAAAAGCAGCCACAAATTGTAATAACAGCTTGATAGAGGTTCTACCCCTTCCCCACTCTAAAATAAAAAATAAATGGGGGTGTGGTTTAAGTATACAAATAACCATACATGGAAAAATCAATGCACTGTATGTTTACAAACTATTAATGAAAACAAGTTTTATTTCAAGTGATATATAGGGTTTTTTTTTTTTTTTTTCCGAATAGGTGCACTTTATACATAATGAGAAGTTTTTCTTTATAAATTAGAACCCATCACCCACAAATATAATAATAAAAAAAATACAAAGAAGGAAAAACACTTTGGATTTTGTCATCTTAGGAACAGTCATGAACGGAAGCACAAGTTTACAGCAGACCTGTTAGTATCAGCAGTTCACAAGACAACAGTCTTACGGCACAAGAGGTCCAATGCGCGTGTCAGCAGGCACTTGAGACAAAACATTGCAGAGACCAGATGCTTTTCTGGGAAATTCACTGATGAACTAAGAGCTTTACAACAGGCACAGTGAGAGCAAATCCCCATACACATTGGCTGCAGTAAGTATGTTTGATTACATCCTAGAGCACCGCACTTTTATAGCCCGTGCACAGGCTGCCCTGGAGCCATCAGGAGATTTGGATGCGGTTTAACCCCAAACTGGAGCTGAAGGGCTCTTTAAAGGTTTCAACAAAGCTACTTGAATCTGGCTAAAAGCTTTGAAAATTTTTTGTAAAAACTTGCTGTACATACTGCTATTATGCAACCAGAAACCCATATGTACAAGGCCTTTATTGTTCACAATTACAACCACCTGCAAAGGATTGATGACAAAAAGTGTTGTAACCGATAGAAATATATCTGCCTAGGGCAGTGCAATCATCTTCTATATGACTAGAGGGATATGAATATATTGACTCCACTGTTTGCAGACAATGGAACAGCAAAATGTAGCTTCACAGCCAAAATCTCTAAGGGAAAGATGGTTACTAAATTCTGTAAATAGCTACCACATCCCAACTGGCTTGGTTTAGTGCAGTAAGGAAAAACAAAAAAGTATTATCTAAATGATTTTTGTAGGAAACAATAGTTTTTCTTTTTTACTATCTAGGAATACCAAAATTTCTGCACTTAAATAAATAAAGGAGCTTTCACTACTGGCCTCCAAAAAACACTAGTTATGGCCAAATTTGACTTCAGTACATTCTAACTCATTGACCTGGAGCAAGCATACAAATTACTAAGTAAATAGGGAAGAATAAATGCACACCAGTTCTTAGTCAGTGCCTAAGTATTGAAGGCACTCAATCACCATTGACAGAAACTAGCATTTTCAGAAGGAGAGATTAGCTATAGGAATATTAATATTCTTTTAATACAGATTTCTTTTAAAACAGACGGAAGGGCAATACAGTGCTCTTACCTTTAAAGTGCCGCCTGCTCACTGCTTTTCTACTTCTTGCATTCAGTTAGGAGTTACTTTTTCCAAGTTGTCACATGACTGCAAACTTTCAGCATGCAAGGTCATCCCACCCGCATTCCTTGCACTACGAGGCTGAAAGAGTGTTTGCCTACTAGCCTCTCCATCGGAGACACACTGAAGCGTCGTGGTCATGTGACTGCTTGAAAAAAAAAAAAAGTTACTAACAGAATAGGGAAAGTAGGAGAGCAGTGGGGTACAAAGCTTTATCAGGTGTGTGACTTTACTGCCTGTCCTTTTACTTCAACTATATAGTGAAAAACGATGAACTCTAAAGGTTACCTGGACAGGACTAAACGATAACAGAACGAACCAACCACATTTACTGCAACCAGTGTGTGTGGAGCCTAAAGTGGGACCATACTCTATAAAAACTGACATCAAGTAGGTAATACATATTTTAAAAAAAGCAAAATCTATTCCCATTTCTGGATAAACAGCACTTTCCCCTATTAGTGGCACTGGCAGCAGGTGTGCAAATAACATTAGGGGTCATGGAATGGAGGCAAGAACTCACCTAAAGTGGTCCAGAAATCTTGTGAGGGTTTTATTGCTTTGCAGCAATGGACCGCTTGTTAAAATGAAAATACTGCTTTAATACTACCAGATAAAACACAAAATAATGTGTCTTGCTCAGGTATCTGCACCAACTGTAGTGCAAGAACTATAATATAGGCCAGAGCTACAGCTTGTGCAGCTGTGTAAATACAATTGCTTTAAGGTAACAAGGCACTCCATGCCAAACATGGCACACACTTATGAACGGAAACAGACAGTTCCTTAATAGGGTGTTAAACAACGGTCACTCCTTCCTCAGGTAGGCTATAGGAGGGGAACAATCTTCCAACTTAGGAATGTGTTTATATTATGCTAGTCACCAAGGTGCATGGTCCAACTGATGCGGTGGAAATCCCAATCTCTTGCCACTGGTCAAAAGGTGCATAGCAGGAGAGTAGACGTATGTTGTAAAACACACAGTTGGAAACTGGAAAGGATGAAATTATAGCTATTCCAGATACAGTTCCTTACGCTGTCCTCAGACATCAGAGACTGGTAGGCTGGCATCATCTATATCAACACCCATGTCTGGCAGACCAATGGATGTGGTATTGGACAAAAAAGGGCTCATTTTGCTAGTCTGGTTTCCTGGAGAGACAGTCGTGATCTTGGGATATCCTGGTTGGTTCTTGGCAAAGGTGCTAGACTCGTCCCTATCCCGATATGGTGGCCCGGGGTCAGAATGCTGAAGTCGGGCGGTCGAGTGAGGGAGACTGAAGGAGCGAAAAGAGGAGCTGTGCTCGGAGTATGAGGTGAGGGCCTCCTGCAAAAAAAAAAACAAAGTAAGTTAAGAAACGATCATGGCTAACTAGAACAGGTTAGTAAGTCAGTGTCAGGCTCCAAACAGTGAAACAGCCAGAAAGTGAGTCAGCATCTCTAAGATCAAGAAGCAAGGTAAGTTGTTACATAAACTTTTCCTTCATGTCCTTACAAGAACTGCATATAGATGAAGGAGTTCATGGACACTTGACTGCGTGTGAAGCCAGCTCTGCTCAAAATATATCCATGAGTAATTACATTTTAACACACTGTATTGTTCTGGCATCCTTAACTACCAGCTGAAGGCACGTTCAGGCAGAGCTGTAAAAAGGCTGTTGTTAGGGTTATAAGTGTAACACAAAGCAGTTTAATGATGTGATCGGTTTGTCTCGGTGACTTCCTGGGATTAGGCATGCTTTGTCAAATGTTCAAACATGTTGCATGCAAGCATAAGAACGTTATGATATGGTACAGCTATGTACACAAAACCCACTGATAACAGATGAGTGGATGGAAACTGTGTGGACATGGGGGTGGGGTTACGTGGTATGGGGAGGCAGCGATTGGTCAGTACTGTGGGCATGCATGGCTGCCCGTATACCTCGGAATACAGGGGTTTGAAAGACGTCTGACCTGTCGCATCTGCGGGGAGACAGGGCAGGGTGGGAATTAGATACACCTTAAGGAGGGCAGAATAAAGGAAAAAGAAGAGAAAGAAGAGATGAAAGAGACAAAAACAGCTGCTGGCAAGAGATTCATCAAGTGGTCTGTAAAATGAAGATCACACATATTTAGGGATGAACTAAATTTAGAGGCAAGTTCCCACACAAAGATATGTTGTTTTGGGTATTAAAGTGGAACTTTTGGTGAAAAATTAATAATGAGTGAACAGGCAAGATTTTTAATGCACAAGAGATGTGCTTTGTCTTTTTCTGCAGTAAAGTTACTTACCTGCCTACCAGCCCACTGTACAGTGCAGCTGCGCATGTGCAGCTCGCTGTAGAAATTCAACAACACCAAAGCTGATTGAACTCCGACGCATGTGCGGGAGTGACGTCATCCATGCCAATGAAAGCAGTCGGCGTTCGATACCTGGAAGTTGGCCACTCGAAGATGTCAGTGGCCAGCAGGGAGCCCCAGCACGTTGCATTGCTGGAGCCAAGTATAGTTCCACTTTACTGAACACTCTCCTATCTACACAATACAGTTTAACAAATAAGACAGCTTCTAACAAACAAGAACAACATGGAGATTTTTTTCACTGGTGCAATAAGGAGGAAAAGGAAAATTAAAAGCCATCTTGTTGCCACAGTTCTACCTATCCTTAAAAAGATTTAGTTCAGCACCCAGGAGCTGTACTCATGCTCACAGAGCTTTTGATCCTCCATTATTCTACATAGAAGAGTGAAGGATTGGGTTCTGCCCACCTGGAGATTTTTCAGTGATAAAGAGCACCTTCATCTCCTACACCTTGCAGCACAGTCTAGTAATCGCAAGCAAGGTTTATCCCACAGGCCAGTGAAACTGGAGGCATTTCTACCAACTCTATCACTGATGCATATAAATTAATTCAATGATTTAGGTCTAATCAGTTTTAAAGCACTGGACAAAGAAATTTTTGGCAACAGTGAATGTTTTGTTGCCCAGCTACTGTACAAGAAAAGTACACCACTGGATGGAAAAAAGGTAATAAAGAAAAAAAAAAAACAATAAAAAGGGAAATTGTGGCCAACACAGAATAAAAAGGTAACAGACTTTTCATTAATTTGTCTCTAGGTATCATGTTTGAGAGACAATTCATGAGTCTCTATTTTGTTCACCTGACTTCATAATTCAGCCTATTTAAATGCAGCAAAGAAACAAAAATATAGAGGAAAGTATAGAGGAAGAAAAAAGTGGTCAACATTTCAAGACTTTCACAATACTCAAGATAAAAGATTTAGTTTCATAGCAAAATATCTATGGGGTTACAATGCCATTTTAGGATGCTCGTTTATTAAAGCTGGAAATGTTTCTCTAACTTGGAAATAGCTTGGGTAATTATTTCTCTCCTAAAACCAAACAAGTTACTAATACAGAAGGTCTAAAAATATCTAACAGGGATGTGTCCCCATAAAAAAACATTATTATTAGCACAAATAGGTTACAACACCATCACTCCCATATGCATGTAGGGAGCACCTCATGAATGTCAGAATACATACAAATCCATGCTTCTCTTCAAAGCGGTATTAAGCACAAAAGCAGAAATGTATAACACTGCAGATTACAAAATCTTAGATGTGATGTCTAAATCAGTTTTCTTGTTCATAGGTGTTCTTTCTTTTTTTTTTTCCACCCTGTGATCTGGCCAGTGATCTTCCAGATCTATCAGTTTACTGGGATGTGACTAACCATTTACCACCGACATGGGTGCTTACAATGATCAGCTTTAATTTATGTAAAACCTTTTTCCTAAAAGGAAAAAAAAAAACTGTTTGCTGTAATGGCTTATAGAGTATTAGCTGGAGTTTGGCTTCAATTTGTTAGTATATTTAAATCTGCTAGTACATTTAACACTACCCTTCCCCCCAGAATGACAATCCAGAGTGGGGGCACTCTAGTATAGGAGGTGTGTTACTTGCCAGATCACCCGGTGAAAAACAGAGGGGGGAAAAGCCTTAAAAAAAAAAGAAAAACTAATGCAGCCACCACATCTAATGATTGGTAAGTTGCAATAAATGACATTTTTGGTTTTGGGTTTAAAGTGGTAGTAAACTTTTTTCTTTTTTTTCTTTATAATAAAGCTTACCTGTAGGTAAAATGAAAATCCCCTAAGTGTGCACCGTTTAGGAGATATTAGCTCTTTTTTTAATTATTTTTGGGTTTTTTTCAGAAAGCGATTCATGCCCTCTGAAGGAATAGCATACCCGTGCCTTTCCTTCAGAGTACTGTGCCGTGGCCTGGGGTTCTTGTGCACATGCGCGGGAGTGATGTCATCACGGCTCGGCCAGTCAGACGGACGCAAACCCAGAAGAAGACCGGGTGATGGAAGCGGTGACAGTGCGCCACTGGAGGGTTTCGTTTTAAGGGCAAGTCCTTCATAATGTGCTAGTATGCGATACATACTAACATATTATGACATTACCTTGCAAGGGATTTTTTTTTTTTGCCTGCCTTAAGCCCAGATCAATTGTTGCATTCAATATATTTTTATATGCATTTATTGTTACCAAACCAAATGAAACTGCTTTTTACAGTAATTTTATGCATATAGAAATAAAGAAGTATTTTGTAAATTCAGCCCAATGTGTTAAATATAGGGTATAACTACTATTCCCAGAATATCATTGAGTAACTTGGAATTCTAGTAGTAGTAATCATCAGTAGTCCATCATTACCAGTCACAGGGTGACTAGCTCTGATTCTACTTTACACACACTTAAGAGTCCCAGCTATGGAATTTTCTCGTAGGACTGAGATTTGTACATAGAGGAACTAGCACTGCCTTGCTGTTTTCATCTGTAGAATACAGTTCTGTACAAAGGGGAGAATGAAACATTCAGTGGGGTCTGTGTAATTGGCAAAATCAGGAAATTAGATCACCATAGATATAAATAAGCTGCCCTATATATCTACACATCAGAGTCATAAACCACAAAGTCGTGTCCTGCAGCTTGCATACAGCCACTTCCACCTCAGAGCAATAGTGGAGGATGAAACCTACAGAAGCTGCTGATCTTGCTGGCCCACGCTGTGCCACAATAGCACCAGATATGGCTCGGATCCAGCTGTTCATTTCTTCTGGACTGTCAGCCTGCCAGGGGTGAAGACAAAAACAGACATTATACAGAGAATACTTCATGCTAAAATGTAATGCTATTTTCAACACGGAAAGATTAATCACACTATAAGCAATACATTGTTAGGAACTGAACTACATAGCTTAAGAATGTTAAAAAATATAAGCGTCAATAACTCCGTAATCGAGGTAAAGGGGTTCTAAAGGCTTAAGGTTTTTTTACCTTCATGCATTCTATGCATGAAGGTAAAAAACCTTCTGTGTGTATCAGCCCCCCCAGCGATGTGCACTAGAGTCTCTGCTGTCCCAGGACTCCCTCTTCTCATTGGCTGAGATAGCAGTGGAAGCCATTGGAAGCCATTGGATCCTGCCAATCACAGCCAGTGAGCCAATGAGAAGAGAAGGAGTGGGTCCGAGCCACAGATCCGTGTGTGAATGGACACACGGAGCAGCGGGTGCTACCATAGCAAGCTGCTTGCTAAGGGGACACCCAACAGAAGGGTGGGGACAGGAGAGCCTGCAAGGAAAATAAGCCTTTTGAATCACTTTAAGAAAGCAACATAATATTTTCATATATATTTCATGATTTTTATTAACACTGACAGATGAATAAGTAAGTTTCAAAAGTTACCTTAGACTAGGTTCACATTAGCCTGCAGGCTGCGGGCTGGTTGGAGGTGCAGGAATTGCACCTCTTCCCGCAGCTGCATCGTCCTGCTCTTGCAGGACACGCGGGGCTGCCATTCTGAATAGCACCTCCATGCATCTCAGTCCATGGCATGGTCACGGGAGCAGAAAAACTGCATAGTCAAAAAGACCACGCAGTTTCCAATGAGGATACATTTTGGAAAATATGCATGCGTCTTTTTTATTTTTTTTTTTCTGTGAAACGCAGGCACGGGAGCCCATTCAAATGAATGGGCTACTATGCCCGTGCAAAAACATGGGCCACACGGCTTCAGCTGACACCACAAGATGCTTGCTTGTATTCTGTTAAGACAGAAAAACACGTCCTGCGTGCCAGTTAAAGTGGCCATAGAGATCGAAATTCGACTGGTTCAGCATGATCAGTGTGTGGCCATCCCTGTTCAACAGAAGTCGACTGTTAGATTTGACAGGCTCATTAACAGGTACTTTTGTATCTAAAGAAATTTTTTTAAAAGTTTTTTTTGTGTATGGCAACCTTTACACCGCGGCACCCTCACATTCACAGGAATAGAATGTTAGCTCTATCTCCTGTGGAAAGTACTGCCGCAATGAACTAAACACAATTTGCATGAAAAATGTACTAATGACCATAATACCATCAGTATGGGTTGTGAGTGCACAAGAACAATATGACATGCCAGTTCTGCCTTAGGAACCGTAATGTAAATCTGCGGTCTGGTGATTTTCAACTGTGCATCCTCTTGCTTATCTAAAATATAACGGTCTCAGCAAAGCTGTCAGCTAAAATCCACTGTAGTGTAAAGGACACCTTGTCCTTTCCTGCGATAAAGGGGCCTGGTCATTATTAGGGATAAGCCCACACGTGTTTAAATACAGGTCGTGGGCAGCACAGTGGATAAATGGTTAGCACTTCTGCCCGGCAGTACTAGGGTCGTTGGTTCGAGTACCTGCAATAAACAAATAAATAAATAAGGTCTAAACCCTCCTGAGCTATTCTGCAAGGAAGCTGTCAAACCTGACAGCCACTCACAGGCAGTGGAGGCATTCCCTGGTCCTGCAGCAGCACACATATATTAGGTGTGACAATTTAATTCCTGGAACACCCACAGTGTAGCACTATGGTGGTGAGTCACAAAGCCATTTGTTCTAGAGCGTGTTCTGATATTTTCCAACTTGCACTCACTTGGGTCACAGACCAGTCAACTCAGTCTTTACAAAAAATTAGAAGACATAACGCGCGTGTGTGTGTTTGCTGCTGTTGGTGGAAAATAAGTGACAGTAATCTGGAGCAGCGGATTAACATCAAATGTTGTGTGAAAATTAGCAAATGTGCAAGTGAAAGTTAACTTTATTACAATGGGCTTATGGTGAACATTCCATGAAGAAATCAAGTATTTTCGAATGGCATAAACGGCTTAAGGACGGCTGGAATATGCCCATGATGACACAAGACGTGGGCAGCCAAAACCGCAAAGGATGTAGAGTGCAAACCCTCATACAATCAGATCAAAGATGACAGGTACTAAATACTACTGGACTCAAGATAGAGTCATTAGTCAAATCTGAAACAGCAAAGCACTTGTTAAACAACTGCACCCAGCAGACAGTCTCATCTGAGTGAGGGTAGACAGAGAGGAGCAATATTGATCAATATAGTGCCATGCAATGCTTCTTTTAAAAAATGCTCATAGTCCTGACATACGCAGAGGGAGGAAGAAAAAAAAAAACATGACCCCTGAGGAACATATATACATACTGCCACTGGGAAGGCACTTTTTGCAAGTAATCATTAATCCTAGGTTCACACCTAAGCGTTTTCTGAAGTGTTTTGCAGAAACGCAGTACAGTCCATTTAACATGATTTCCTATGGGACAAGTTCACATCTTCACGTTTTCACACGGTGTGTTTTTTGGAAAGGGTCAGGGACTTTTTTGAACACAAAACGTTGCTTTTGGTTCTATAGACTTCAATGGGAACGCTGCAGAAAAGCATGTATTGCGATTTTGCTTTTAAAATCTGCCTAGCAAGAAGAAGAAAAAAAAAAAAAAAAAACATCAAAAACGTGGCAAAACCACATAAAAAATGCAAGTGAAAAAAACCCAAAAGACAAAAAACAAAACGTAAATACAGAAACACCTCAAATGCAGCCTGCATAGGTGTGAACCTAGACTAATGCATATTTTTTGTAGCAATTCTGCAATAGCTGCATGTATGAAGGTGTAAGTCCGCTTTAAAAGGGAAATGGGCTAAGAAGTTTGAGTTATAAGTGAAAGCATTTTCAAGATTATAACATTTGAAAACAATCATTGTTTCTTTTACCAGCATAGCAAACTTACATACCTGTACGAAAAATGTTCGTGAGCTTGTTACAATTTCAAACAAATTGTCTCTCAACATGATGTCACTACAGAAAGAAGAAAAGCATAATACAGTTATACATGGATGTCCATGTAGGTTGTGACTATTTTAAGGCAACTGGCTGAACCAGGATTTGAAGAAAGGTCACGTATAAGGTAGGCTACGAAGGAAATGTTTTTGGGGGACATCAGAATGAACCTTCCAGTTTTCTACAAACCTGGAGTATACAGAATCCACAGAACTTTTCGTATGATGGAACAATTCACCTTCAGGGTCACTTTTACACAGGAAATCAGCTATAGAGTCTGAGCTGGTGCTACGCAGACAAGGCTAAGATCAGGAAACATCAGCTGCACACTGGATCTAAAACTGTGAAGTCTAACAGTCATTACCACTTTATGGTGGTGTCAGTACCCTGCTAGCAGATAACCTGGATATTACCAGCCTAGATTTTAACCACTCCAGCCCTATGGACCAGAGAATCATTTGCATTTGTCCTATGGGCCTGTTTATTCAGCAAATATCATGACTTAAGATAACATAATACACATCATTTGTTGTTTGATCACAGAGAGGTTTTCTTTAGGTGATTTTGTGGTGTTTGTCATGCAACGATGATTTTATTTCATAAACAATATAGAATTACAATATACATAATATAAATATATATGTGCATGCATATATGATATGCCTCCATAAGGAGTACTTGTCACTTGCCAAATATCACATAGGGGCTTGCTGATCCCCTTGTTATAGCAATAGAGTTAAAGTAAAAATATTAATAATAATAATAATCAAAAGCAATTTCCTAATGGTTGAAAAAAAGATATATGCTTAAAACATCTGCAGAAAAATAATATCTAAAATGGAGGAAGGGGAAGGAGTTAATATGGGCTGATCAAAGAATTAGTTCACTTTCACCAAAAAAACCTAGGCAGGTAAGGGGTACCTATAGATAAAAAGCTGTGCAGCTTTGACCAAAGTTGAAGAACGCCCCATGTTAAGGGTATAGTCCACTTAGGTACTTCCCAAAGCATGGCCAAAATATTCCCAGAGTTTGCATTCGCCTTGCTGCTAGAATCTTGCTAAGGATCACTTCCAGTTGTAACTTTTCCCTTCCATCATCACAGGAGTAAGCTCTTTTTCTGATTCAAACCCCCTCACATGCACTCTCTCTTGCCTGGAGCAATAGCTTAGTGTTGTTTTTATCTACAGGTATCCCTTACCTGCATAGGCAGTTTTTTTTTCTAAAAGGTGAACTACTGTATGTCTTTAAAGAATACAAATGACTAGTAAAATGTGTTCCTATGTAACCGTTTATTAAAATAAAAGAAAAAAAAATAATTACCAGGTTGATTTAACGGACTTCATTTGGAGCAGCTTTGATCTGCACTTGCACTGTGTTTATAAACACTGTCAGACTGCACATTTTTTGACGGCAGCTGCTGTGTTTACACAGCAATTGCCCTCAAATGCAAAGGGTAACAGCAATGGAGCTGCAGTACAGAGATTACTACACACATCCTGTGTAGTTCAAGGACATTTTTTGTGCATGTGTTGTATGCCCAATGTCCACAACTGTACTAGGCACAGGCTGCTGGAGAATGAGCATATTTCACTTCTACATACAAAATACAAACATTTCTAGTGTACAGTTATTCACACAAGATTTCATGAACTCTGTGGGCCAAACATTCTGTAGCCACAGTAAAGGCTTTTCACTACTTGCCTATTCAAGCAGAAAAGCCCAAAAAAATTTCAGCAGCTCTTTTTGCTAAACTAGCTTCTAACAACCAACAATTTTAGCCTGTGTATCTTCCTGTGGCACTGCTCTCTTCATGACTGAACTGAAAAAGTTGCATCTATTAAGAGCTCCAAAAGAATAAAGAGCAGCCTAATCACTGGCTGAATAATGGCTCCACATCAACAACTGTGGTTACTTGAACCGGAGTAAGCTACCGCCAATCTAACAGGGTGGTGGAGAAGGTGCAAACCAAACTCTGGTTGATAATTGCTTAACTGAGCTCCCTGGATTTTTTGGGGCTACTAAGATGTTCAGAAAGAAATGTGAAGCCAAGTACAGATGCCTGTATGTGCCTGCCATAAATTTCAATTGGCAGTTAACTAAACTAAAGAGAACTACAGGTACACTTTAAAGTGGTTCTAAAGGCAGATGTTTTTTTTAACCTTATAGTGCCTTGATAAAGTATTCATACCACTTGAAATTTTCCACATTTTGTCATGTTACAACCAAAAACATAAATATATTTTAATAGGATTTTATGTGATAGACCAACACAAAGTGGCACATAATTGTGAAGTGGAAGGAAAATGATAAATGGTTTTCAAAATGTTTTACAAACAAATATCTGAAAAGTGTGGCACACATACAGCCAGACCTACAATGGAATGGTTTGGATCAAAGCATATTCATGTGTTAGAATGGCCCAGTCAATGTCCAGACGTAAATCCAATTGAGAATCTGTGGCAAGACTTGAAAATTGCTGTTCACAGACACTCTGCATCCAATCTGACAGAGCTTGAGGTATTTTGCAAGGAAGAATGGGCTACAATTTCATTCTAGATGTGCAAAGCTGGTAGAGACATACCCAAAAAGACTTGCAGCTGTAATTGCAGCGAAAGGTGGTTCTACAAAGTATTGACTCAGGGGGGCTGAATACTTAGGCACACCACACTTTTTAGATAATTGTAAAATATTTTGAAAGCCATTTATCATTTTCCTCACACTTCACAATTATGTGCCACTTTGTGTTAGTCTATCACATAAAATCCCAATAAAATACATTTACGTTTTTGGTTGTAACATGACAAAATGTGGAAAATTTCAAGGGGCATGAATACTTTTCAAAGGCACTGTAATGCATTCTATGCATTAGATTAAAAAAAACCTTCTGCATGCAGCTCCCCCCTCCCCAGCCCAATCTAAATACTTACCTGAGCCCGATCTCGATCCAGCGAAGTGCACAAGAGTAGCAGCTCATTATCGCCTCATTGGACAGCAAGGCAGCAGCGGGAGCCATTGGCTCCTGCTACTGTTAATTACAGCTCAGGAGTGAGCATGTACAAGTGCCCCTGTAGAAAGCCACTTGAAGCCGGTGGGGAGGAGAGCCAGGAGCACTGACGGGGGACCAGGGAAGAGGACAGGGGCTGCTCTGGACAAAACCATTGCAGAGAAAAGGCAAGTATGACCTGTTTGTTATTTTTAAAAAGTAAAAAATCTGCCTTTACAATCACTTTAAGCTAGCCATATACAAGAGAAATCATCATCTAGAAATTGCACTCAATAATATCCTCTGCTTTGTTCAGTGAATTGTGGAAGAGCTCTCCACTGAAAACGCAGCACACTTCTCCAGCATATAAGAAGAAGTTAAAAGAGCACAGTTTTTCCCATCCCACCAAGTATCTTTAAAGGAAATTGCTGGTTTCTAGTTTTTACTGTTGATGCTCTAGGGGTGGAGTCTGTTCCTGACGTCATCACGCTGTTTCTGTTTACCACGAACTTGGATAGGTTCCCGGGACCAGAGGTCTTATATTTGTACACAGCACTTATTTGTCTACCCAAATGCGTGTGGAATTTAATACGTTTAAACTGTCCATATGATTTTATGCGACGTTTGCTCTCCGGTTTCTTCCTTTATGGATTGATTACATGCACCGGAGAGACATACAGGATGGGGATACCCTGAAGGGATCCTTTTCATTTCTACTGGTTGTCCAGCATCTTTCCTCTGCTTGAGAGTTATGGTGGATACACATCTCCAGGCCATTGCATTCATGCGTTTATGACTCTTATTAACTTAACTTGGTGGTGGTGCACTTGTTTTATTTGAAGATACGCGGTGTTTGATCACACATTATCAGAATATTGGGACTTTTTTCTACGTTTTGCTCTACTGGGCCTTGATTATATGTTTTTTTTTTTTTTAACACATTTTTAATTTATGCACTTATTTGTATACAACAATGGTTTAGCGCGGCAATTTATGTTTATCTGTACACAATTTATATCTGATTGTTTTGCCAGCAGCATTTTTTTAATTATATTTTTCACTTTTTGCATGACTTTTTTTTGCCAATTTATTTTTAATCTAGTATAACCGACCTTGAAGTTGCAGAGACGAAGCAGTATGGTGGGTTGTGTCGCACTATGCTGTGATGAAAAAAGTACTGCATACTGTACATATTTCAGTCCACACCACCGGAGCACAGTGAACTAGCATGATAGGGAACAAGGCTTTTTGCCTTGTCTTGAGTTTGGACTGCACTAGGCAAAACTGTCTAGTGCAGTCCTAGCACACCTGGTATGAACAGGCCCTAAAAGTGCAGAGCTGTTGTCCTTATCATGGCTTATTTACACAGTAAATCAATGACCCAGAACAGCAGCTAGCTAAATCCAAAAAAGTCTGAATCTGTACTGCATTCGTCCTCTGTGTCAATGACTAACTAGACAGCGAACCCAGACTTACAGTCCTCACGTTTACTTTAAAAATGGGAAGAAAGGCCTTCCTAGCACCGCTGTTGCGACCATTAGAATATTATGCATATTGAAATAGCATGATGTCATCAATGTGATCTCAGTACTATGTTTAGCAATCTTCAGTCAAATGAACGCAAACTCACCTCTGTTTGCACTCCTGTACTTTCTGCACCTCTCTCAGTTGTATCAATCGCAGTGGCTCCCTGTCCTATGACACATTGGTAAAGTAAAAGCAGGTAAGTAAATTCCATAACCAAGCCAGCACTGATAATGAAAGAGTACAAAAAAGGCAATGCCTACCAATTCAGATTTGAAGTATCCTATTGTATTCTCATCTAGGAGAAAGAATCTTCTTTTCCAGTTCTTCATCTTTAGTGTAAAAGAGAGTCAAAGTATGTCATTTCCTGAATTTAGTTGCTATTTATTTGTATTAGTTAAAAGAAAAAGCACAAAGAAAGCAAAATAGTAAAGCTGCTGTTGCTAACATTCTTCCGATATGCTAGTGGCCTGTTTTTGTCTGGTTTCAGTGACCAACTCATAAAAGGCATACCTCTAGAAGAGACAAAGTGAAGTAAAAAAACTTCAAATCTGCCTATTTCTTCCAAGTTACTGACTTAGGAGGTTAAGAAGATACTATATCTGCATGATATACACGGAACTAGTATTTTCAAAAGAAGTTAACAATGCAAGTCTACCTGGTTTCTCAGTACAGGATACAAAGTTTAAAAAACAAGCACACTTTTTCAATAGTTAATAGATTTGAAATGCACTCTTCAATGAGCTGACAGGCTGCAGAATGAACACTCTTCCATTGCAATTCTCTCACCCATTGTTCTGCTGCCATGGAAAAGGGCACTGGCACAATGTAGGACTTTGGGGAATGGATAGAAAGAGAAGCAAGGATGTAGCTCATTCATGGCCTGCACTGGTTTTGAAACCTTTAGAAACATGCACACGTTTAGTAAACTGAGTGAAAAGGAGATAGCTAGAGCACAGTTTACAGTTTAGTGTGTCAATTCAGGGCAAAGCAAGAGGTTTGCATTAACTACCCCTTTTCCCCCCAGCGAATACTTACTTTTCCTTTGCTCTCCCACCTTACATTCTGTGCCAAGTCTTTAATGGGTATATATAAATATGGGACTCCATTACAAGTGATAGTGCTTGGCCAATATTTACTGGAGATTTGTTCTGCCCATTGTTGGCACAGCACAGATTCACTTAAATGCCCCCACGAGACTAAACTCATTTTACTGGTAAATAGTCACATCTTCATCACAATGTGCAAAATTAGGGCTGCTGTTAGAAACCATGGGGCCCCATACAGCCAACCTGACAGCACAAACCTCCGCCCTCCAAAAAAAACAGTTGACTATGCTTCAGTTATGAATGAACACAGTGAGTGATCAGTACCGATCACTGTGTTCATTCAGGAAGAAAGGGGCTAGTAAATGTGACATATTAATGGACCCTTTCCCCACTCTCCATCCTGAAGGATCCTATTGTGTGCTGGCAGCTGCTGGTGGGAAGGAGAGGAGGGAAGCCAGCAGCATTGTGAAGATAGGGGCACACAGGGGGGCCTGAGCAGCTGGGGAAATGTATGGTGCACAGAGAGGGTGTCGGGTGCAGCGGGGAGGGGCTAAAACTGGAATTAATCCCCTGTATGGCTCTCTCTGCAGCAACTGAAAGTCAGTAGGAGGGAGAGAAGAAGAAGCATTCAGCTGCTGCAGAGGGAGACATACAGGGGATCGATTCCAGTAATTGCTCCCCCATTGTGCCAATCACCCTCCCTGCCAACATCAGATTTACCCAGCTACCTGGGCCCCCTGCTGGCCTAGGCCCTGTACAGGAGGACTGGTGGTACTCCCTTACCCACAGGTGAAGGTAAAGCAAGTAAAAAGGTACTATCCCCACCACTGTATTTACTATTACATTGTGTGTGAACACTGTCAGCAGAGCTGTAGGGTTGTAAAACTACAGACCCCCAGTATAACATCACAGAGAACACAAATGTCCACCTATCAGACCCTAGAATAGTGTGCAAGCAGATAGAGAAGAGAATCTAAGAGTGCCAATGAGACCACCTTTTCCCTACCACTAAAAGCACCAAAAAAAAAAACCAAAAAAAACTGGTGAGGCAATAAACAGCCAATACATTCGCCCTATAAGCTCAGTAAAATGCTACCCCTCTAAGCTGCAAATTGCTCTTTTAGGAAACTTGCAAATAAGTTTGTGTAAATTCACTAAAGGACACGTAACCCATTTTTCAGAAATGTTGCATAGTAGATAATAAAAGTCAATTCATCAAAGTAAAATATCGAAAGTGAGGTAAAATACGCAAATAAAAGATAAAAGAAAGATACACACACATTTGTCAATAATCACCTGGCAGTAGGCAGTCCGTATTTTAGAAATGTACAAAATAACAGGAACTCTGAGGGGAACTCTGTACTGGCCAGTAAATTAAAAGTATACAATGTATCAGTGTAGAAATGTTCTGCGCTGAGTTCAGGAATGAAAACAAATTGTAACATTTCACAAGAGGGACACCTTCTGTGACTGAAAGCAAGATAGAATGTTTTCATAGTTTCATTATATCTCTGTGTGCATTTATTTACAGAACTATCTTCCTCTAGAGTAGTGTCAGCATGTTATTGAAAAAAAAAAAAAAAAAAGTGAAAACCACCAAAAATAAATGCTAAATATAAGTGATAAATGTCACAAAACAAATATTTAACCGCATTCAGAAAGCAACACATTTTGTTTAGTGAATTGACTACTTTGAAATAAATACCGCATTAGATATTTACTCAAAAATTCATGCTGTATGTATCTCCTAGTGAATTGACCCAAGTGGAAGCATTAATCAGAATGCCTTGACTGTATGTATTAGGCAGTACACTAAGTGTAATGGGCTGGGTGAAAATGCCAAGGGATATTTTCAAATAAATATATTTTGACAAAACAATAATTCATTAATCACAGTGAAAACAATTAAAGAAACCTCTGTAAACCTCTACCATGTCAAAGGCTAAACTCACCTTTGGAACATGTTGCATGTTCCACCCGCATTTAGGGTGAAACATGTAACATGTTCCAACTCCTGCCTCCTCCCCCCCCCCCCCCCATTGACCCCTTGTGACAGTGGGCAGGGGACCTTCTCCCTGCATCCGCTGTCTTAATTAATTCACAAAGTTCTGTGAATGAACAAACTACAAGTACTGAGCTTGTGTTTTCAGTGAACAACAGGACACTAGTGAGAGCTCTCATGGTTCCTGCAATTCAGGAGGAATGGGCAGACAGTGTACCAAGAGTCTGCAGGATCCTGGCATTGCACCTGTGATCTGCTGATCGTGGGCACAATACTTTTCAGGCTGCAAAGTAAAAAAAAATAATAAATGCACATTTTTTTTTTAACCTGCAAAAAAAGATGTGCATTTATATATATTTTTTTATAAGGTGAACTTGTCATTTAACCACCTCCCGCCCGCCATATAGTAATATGATGGGCGCAAGGTGGTTCTCTCGTGCTGGGAGGACGTCATATGACGTCCTCCCATTCTCACTGCGCATGCACGGCTCAGGGAGCGTGCAGCATGGTGATTGGCAGTGCGATGTGTCCCTCGGACACAGCGGATCACCGATCACGGAAAGAGCCAAAGATGTCGGCTCTGTCATGTGATCAGCTGTGTCCAATCACAGCTGATCACATGTAAACAGGGAAATGCTGGTTATCAGCATTTCTCTCCTCTCGAGCTGTCACGCTGTCACTACCAAAAGAAAGCTCTATCTGTCACAAAAAAATGATAAAAATTTCATATGGGTACAGTGTTGTTTGATACCGCGCAATTGTCATTCAAAGTGCGACAGCGCTGAAAGCTAGAAATTGGCCTGGGCAGGAAGGGGGTATAAGTGCCCTGTAGGCTAATGGTTAAAGGGTGCATTCTTCCAAAAGTGACCTTTTAGGGCTTGTTCACACTTGAATAAATTTCTAATTCTTAAAATGCTCCTATAGCATTAGTATGGGCGTTGGGCATTATTGAGCTTTAGTATGGGCATTAAACTGGTTTTTACAAGAGTTAAAAGCGCTCCCCAAATGCCCTATGCGTAGACTTGACATGTTTTATAAGCATTTTACAAGCCTGGGTTTACATACATGCTGTTGCTGCTTATGACTGTGTCTAAACTCTACAAGAGAATGCACATGCACGCCTTCTGTATAGGACTACTCAGCTGCAAGATTGGCTGTGTCAAGTAGCCTAGGAAACTAAATGATTACTTTTTTTTTATTTTTTAAGTGGTAGTAAAGGTAAGACATTTTTTACCTTCATGCACTGCCTGCATTAAGGCAAAAAACATCCCAGTATTTGTATCATCCCCTTACTTCCATTATACTTACTCAAGTCCTTCCTCAATCCAGTGCTGTGCCTGTCTGCAGCAGCGCTGGTCTATCGCTCTCCTCTTACAGGAAAGAGGCAGCAGCGGGAGCCATTAGCTACTGCTGCTGTCAATCAAATCCTGTGAGGAGGGAGCAGGGTGTTGGGCCAAGCAACACTGTCTATGGATGCACATAGCCTGGCTCGGGAGCAAGTTCGTACATGTGCCCCCAGAGCAAGCAGCTTGCTATGATGGCGCACACAGAAGAGGAGGAGAATGAACTCCCCAACATCTACCCAAAAACTAAAATACAAGTTTAGGGAGGACTGACCATTATGCTGTGATAGCAGCACATCTAAAGATTCTGTCTTATCCATGATCTTAACATATGTAATGGATAAGTGAGCGCTAAAAGTCGCTATAGCCGCTGAACACCAAAAGGTACCAAACAACCTTAAAACAGATCTATAAGCAGGGGGGCAGCGCTGTGAAATCATAAATAGTGCATAAAACATTAAATGAATAAAATGCTAAAGTTGCTTTAAAAACAAGTGTCTCAGTGTGCATAAATTATTGTACAGAACACACTATGGTGCAAAACACAATAAAGTGCAAATGGTAAAGTCCACACAAGTTATTCCTGTCACTGCGTCGTGACTAAATCAGCAATAGTAGTGAGTGCCCAGTCCACAATATCCCAATGGGTTGAGTGCTGAGAGGATCATAAAGATCTCTATGATGAATTCAAAAAGTGGTGATATCCAAACTGATAAAAGACTGCGCACTCACCAGATGCGCAATCAATATGCGCATGTAAGAGATAACCCCTCTTAAGGTTTGAATCCAGGAATCCCTCTGGAATGTGGTCTGGTCTATTTCTGTGGTCTGCTCATTCAGTTATCAAGCATGGCTCTGTCCTCCTTAGACGTGTCTGGGGTACTTTAAATACTTCTTTAGTAGAAGTTGCATGTTAGGATGGTGAGGAAATCCAGACATACCGGATGATATATGCAAACATGAACTTGTAACAGCTGAGATCGATGATGTCTGGATTGCCCTCCAGAGGATTTACCCCCTTTTCTGACCAGGCCATTTTTTGCATTACTTTAACTGAAAATTGCGCGGTCATGCAACACCGCACCCCTATGAAATTTACGTCCTTTTTTCCCCCACGAATTGAGCTATCTTTCTGTGGTATTTGATCGCCTGTGCGTTTAATTTTTTTCACTATAAAGAAAAAAAAGACAGACAATTTTAACAAAAAAAAAAAAAAAATATTTTGGACTTTTTGCTATTAAACATGTCCAGTAAAAAAATTTAAAAATCAAATTTCGTATTCTGCTACATGTGTTTGCTAAAAAAAAAAAATCCCAATATGTGTAAATTAATTGGTTTACATGAAAGTTATAGCGTTTACAAAAGGCGGTATAGATACTGGGATTTTTTTTTTTTTTTTTTCCCCTACTAGTAATGGCGGTGATCATAGACTTTTAGCGGGACTGCAGGGGGCATTCTGACACTGGGGGGGACTAACTTGGTGTCACTGACATTCCCAGTGACACCAATATAGTGATCAGTGATAAAAAACAGCACGGACGGTACTAATGACAATGGGCAGGAGGGGTTAATGTGAGCGGCTATCAAAGGGTTAACTATGTGTAGGGAGTGTTTTACTAGGGGGCGGGGGGTGTGTTTTTCACTGTTAGCATACTGATTGGAATGGCTATGCACAGCCATCCCGAGCAGTGTGCCCGAGCTGACAGGGAGGAAGACTGTTTGTAAACAAAATGGTCTTCCTCCCCATCGGTGATTGTCAGTAATCACCGGACGCAGGCGGGTAATCACTGGCTGGGACCCAGGGATTGACATCCGCGGCCGCAAATGGCAGAGTGGGAAGGGTGCGCGCGCCCACTACCCGGAAATACGAAATCTCATATATATATATATATATATATATATATATATATATATACACATATACACACATATACACACACACACACACACACACATACATATACACACACACACGTGATTTTTCACACCCGTGTCGCCGTGTAGCAGTATATCTGCTACACAGCGCAGGTAAGCGGTTAAAATTCTTTTTTGTGATGTCACTTTTGGCAACCACTTTCTACCAGTCCAACGACGTGAAGTATCTAATTCTCAAAAACCTTTATCTTTCACTACAATTTTAAAATGTTAGACAGCAAATAAAGCTAAACATTTAAACAAATTTCATCCTGTAAGCCACATTATAATATTGAATAAATATTTCATCAATATTGTCGTATTAACATCTTACCACAGCCCCCTGTTTAACACAGTATCCGGCTTTTATCACACCGCCCTCAGATAACCGATAAGGGGGAGATGGGAGCTGGCTTTGGCTGCGTTTTAGGTTGCCTCTGTCACCAGTGTTGGCACATTCACTGAGTTCTTGCTGTACATGGAAAGAAAAGACAGATATATAGAAATAAACGCATACATTTAATTGAAATTAAAATTTAAAGTTTCTTTAAATTTACTTTGAGCGCTTGAAGAAATTTATGTAGCAAAATCCAAGTAGGATTTACAATGTCATTATATTAAACTGTCAGTATGGTGTTTATTCTACTATCTTCTGAACTTTACTAAAGATAACTATTCTAGAGTAGTTCCACAATAACCTGGTGGATGTTTTTCGGCTGTAGTAGACCAGAGGGTATTGTATGGCTCTGCAAAGATTCTGGTAGGCCTTTTAGTTCAGGTTGCAAGTCGCACTGTGAAATTCTTTGGCTCTGGATACAGCAAAACCATTACAATTTGTCCTCCATGTTTGAAAGTTGTTACACACCCAAGAACCATCTTTTCACCAACTCGACAGCATACTAAACCACACATTTAAAAAATTCTGACTTATCAGTCCAGCACACTTTTCAGTCCTAAGTGGTCTAGTGGTGGTGATCGATGCTCAAGCAACCTCCATTTTTTATATTTTACCATCTTAGCAATGGCTCTCTTAATTCCACTTGATTCATAAAACCTGCAGCTCCAAGTCTTCTATTAACAGTTGCTATATATTGTGGATGAGAAAATGGTATAAAAGTTTATATTTACTAAAATAATTTGATTTCCATGTTCTGTGGGACACTCAATATAGTGAATGCAGGGTTATGGGTTTAGTGACACTTTCTGGCAGTTTACAACTTACCTACAGTGCTCAGCATGAATTAATACACCCCTTTTGAAAAGTAAGATTTTAATCAATATCGCAATGAAAACCAGAACAATTTCCAAAATGTTTACAAAACTGAGTTTTATAGAACATTTGTTTAGCTCATTACATGAAATGAAGGTTAATAATATAACTTAGATTACAAAATCTTCAGTTTTACTCAAATTACTTGATGCAAAAATGAATATGCCCCACAACAAAAACTACTACATCTAGTATTTTGCATGACCTCCATGATTTGTAAGGACAGCACCAAGTCTTCTAGGCATGGAATGACAAGTTGGCAACACACTGCAACATCGATCTTTTTCCATTCTTCAAAAACGACCTGTTTTAGAGCCTGGATGCTGGATGGAGAGTGATGCTCAACTTGTCTCTTCAGAATTCCTCATAGGGGTTAAGATCAGGAGATATATTTGGCCACTGAATCACTTTCACCGTTCTTCTTCAGAAATGCAACAATGGCCTTAAATGTGTGTTTTATGGTAGCATCTTCTCTGTCAATATAAAGCAGTACATCTGTGAAATCATGATACCATCAATGAAATGCAGATCCCCAACACCAGCAGCACTCATACAGCCCCACAGAAGGACACTGCCACCACCATGTTTCACTGTAGTCACAATGCACTTTTCTTTGTACTCCTCACCTTTGCGACGCCATACAGTTTTGAAGCCATCAGTTCCAAAAATGTATCTTGGTCTCATCACTCCAGGGTACAGAGTCCCAATAGTCATCTTCTTTTTCAGCATGAGTCCTGGCAATTTCTAGGCAGGCTTTTTTGTGCATGGGCTTTAGGAGAGGCTTGCTTCTTGGATGAGACCCATGCACACCATTTTGGCTTTCTACTTCTTTAGCCAACTGCAGTGAACTTGCATGGCGGTCTTCTTCAACCCTTCTCATCAGAAGATGCTCTTGTTGAGGGTGTTAACTTCCGTGGACGGCCTGGACGTCTCTGTGAGATGGTTGCAGTTCAATCTTTGGTAAATTTTTATATCACTTTTGCTACAGTAGTCTGACTGATAAGGAAAGCTTTGCTGATCTTCTTGTATCTTTCAACGGTATTGTGTAAAGAAATTGTCTCTCTCAGGCCTTGTGACATTTCTCTTTCACGTGGTGCCATTGCTGGCAGCATGAAATGGGAAGCTGTTTTCTTTGTTAAGTAACAACCTTTTATAATCAACTGTCTGCTGGATACCTGGTTCATGAATACTTAGACTCACCTGTAGTCTAATTCTTGTTAATTAGGATTTGTCAAAAATGTAGCTTTGCCTCTAAGACTTTCATTGAGGTGTATTCATTTTTGCAACATGATCTTGAAATAATTTGTTAGGAAAAATACTTTGTGTCTGCAAATTAACAAATCTTGTTTGCAATCAATGGCCTGCATTTGTGGATGTATTTTGCTGTATAGTGTCCCATAGAAAATGTTGATTCTGAAAGGCAAGTAAAGCTTTTCTGACAAATCTGTTTAGGTGTACTCATTTACGCTGAGCACTGTATGTACTGTTTCAGGATATTCAATGGTCTTGAATTTCACCTCAATTCCGGTTGCACCCAGGCCCCCCCTCCCCCCCCTTAAGTGCCAATTCTCATTGGGTTTTTTTTTTCTACCTTTTTTTTTTTTTAGATGCCTAGGCAGTTCACATGGGGCCCTCTTCTCTGGAATTGGACAGCCCTTAATTAGGCAGAATACATCTTGTAAAAAGAACGCAAGGAGTGTGTTGATAACCATCTAGGGGAGTTGGTGATGACACCTTGCTCTCACAGAAAGTTGGCAAAATGATGCTGCACATCATTCAACCAGAGAAGAGGAAGTATTCTAACAAGTGATGCATTTTTTACAAATACCAAGCTACCTTTTTTTTTTTTTTGTAGGCACTTGCCGCCTGACGTATGTGTATATAAACAAACTGATGAAAAGTGATTAAAACTAGGATCATGACCCCGCTATCGTTTTTCCAGCTGGTAATCAGCTGTTATGTAAAAGTGATCAGATCACTTTTACAGTGCTGGGAAGGACTCCACGATCTGTGTTTGATCCCTGATGTCTCCATAAATAGTACCTGTCACCTGCCCAAAGCTTACAAAAGGGAGCTTTTTTGCCTGCTTGTGACAGCAATAAACTTAAACGAAAAAAAAAAAAAAAGTAAAGTACTGTATATCCTATCTTGTGACCCCTATGGGGTATAGTTTTTGCTAGATTTTCCCTGGTATAACAGACCAACTTAAACCAACATTTTTCTACAGGAGCATTTCTCCCCTTCCTCTTACTACTCCAATACTTTCTCCCCACCTCCTCTCCGTAAGTAAAATCTGTTATGATCTTCCACCTTATATGATGCAAAATGTTGCTACTGACCTGCAGTACATTTTTTTCTTGACAAAAATTTTTTTAAAAAATTGTTAAAAAATAGATTTAAATAAAAGCAATTATGAAAGAAGTTAAAAAGAACAAAATGTGTGCGTAGGACCAGCACGCACATGTAAACAGTGATTTTACCAAACAAATGAGGAATCGCTGCAAAAGTCGAAACTAGGGCAATAATTCTAGGACCATAATTCATGATTATCCCTAAGCTGATAACCCACAAAGGCTCGTAAAGCACCACATATGGAAATGTTTTAGGGATGGTAGTTTGTCGCCATTACGAGGCGGAGGGGGCATTTTAAATCTTGACATGCTTGGTATCTATTTATTCAATGTAACATCAGCATCATATTTTATATTTTACCAAAAGTTGGGTATTATATATATTGTGTTTTTTTTCTAGCAAAAAAAAAAAAAAAGTTGATTTTAACATGTATGTGAAAAAATGTAAATGGTCCTGGACAGCAAGTGGTTATTAAACCAGAGCTTGGTTTTAAGTCTCAAGAAAAACACTAGAACATTTTTGACCTGTAGTGTATGTAATAAAAAAACATTAGCAAACAGACATCTAAAACCTCATTTAGCTGATTTAAATGAATAGTTTGTGCCTACCTGTGTGGGGGTGATAATGGGAACACCACCTACAATTTCAGTCTTGTAAGAAATCTGTTTTTTACTGCCTGTGTATTCAAGCTGGTTGTTCACGCTGTCTGCAGGGCATGGTTGGTCACAAGGTTTTGGTACCTACAAGTAAATCACCAAAGAAAAAAAACAAAACAATGTTATATATTAATATAATGTAGCTACACATCCATAAACAAGTTGATGAAGAAATGTATCATGTTAAAACAAAAAATATACAAAAATATATATTTTTAATAGCAATATTAAAGACAGACAACCGGTTTACAAGATTTGGATATAGTGGCAAAGTGCAGAACCTGTTAATAATATAACGCATTTTTTTTTTTTTTTTTAATAAATCTCTTCCTCTGAGCTTCCTTTTATAACTGTTCCCAACTGTACTCTTACTTTGCCATTCTGTGTGTGCCCCCTGTACCACTGGGACCTATACAGAGAAAGTGCCTCTGATTAACCTCAAATAAAGTTCAGCTGTTCTCGTAGGTCTTTCCTAACATTTTCTTAGTCGCATCCTACAGCAAAAGCCATGGTCCGCAGAGAGCTTCCAAAGCATCAGAGGGATCTCATTGTTAAAAGGTATCAGTCAGGAGAAAGGTACAAAAGAATTTCCAAGATATTAGATATACCATGGAACACAGTGAAGACAGTAATCATTAAGTAGAGAAACTATGGCACAACAGTGACATTACCAAGAACTGGACGTCCCTCCAAAATTGATGCAAAGACGAGAAGAAAACTGGTCTGGGAGACTGCCAAGGGGCCTACAGCAACACTGAAGGAGCTGAAGGAATATCTGGCAAGTACATGTGACAACAATCTCCCGTATTCTTCATATGTCTGGGCTATGGGTTAGAGTGGCAAGATGGAAGCCTTTTCTTACAAACAAAAACATCAAAGCCCGGCTAAATTTCGCAAAAACACATCTGAAGTCTCTCCAAAGCATGTGGGAAAACGTGTTATGGTCTGATGAAACCAAGGTTGAACTTTTTGGCCATAATTCCAAAAGATATGTTTGGTGCAAAAACAACACTGCACATCACCAAAAGAACACCATACCCACAGTGAAGCATGGTGGTGGCAGCATCATGCTTTAGGGCTGTTTTCATTCAGCTGGAACTGGGACTTTAGTCAAGGTTGAGGAACTTACGAACAGTTCCAAATACCAGTTAATATTGGCACAAAAACTTCAGGCTTCTGCTAGAAAGCTGAACATGAAGAGGAACTTCATCTTTCAGCATGACAACGACCCAAAGCATACATCCAAATCAACAAAGGAATGGCTTTGCCAGAAGAAGATTAACGCTTTGGAATGGCCCAGCCAGAGCTCAGACCTGAATCCGATCGGAAATCTTTTGGGGCGATCTGAAGAGGGTTGTGCACAGGAGATGCCCTCCAAATCTGACAGATTTGGAGTGTTTTTGCAAGGAGTGGGCAAATATTTCCAAGTCAAGATGTGCCATGCTGATAGACTCATACTCAAAACGACTGAGTGCTGGAATAAGATCAAAAGGTGCTTCACCAAAGTAACACTTTAAGGGTGTGCACACTTATGCAACCATATTATTTCAGTTTGTTGTTCAACTGAGTTGTACAGTTTATAGGTTACATTAAAGGTGGAAAAACTTCTGAAATGATTCATCTTTGTCTCATTTTTTTACATCACAGAAACCTGACATTTTAACAGGCGTATGTAGAATTTTTATATCATATACAGTGAAGGAAATAAGTATTTGATCCCGTGACGATTTTGAATGTTTGCCCACTCACAAAGAAATGATCAGTCTAAAAATCAGACGGTAGGTGTATTGTCACACAGAGACACAGATATTTGATCCCCTATCATTCAGCAGGATTTCTGGCTACCAGGTGTCTGTCATACAGGTAACAAGCTGAGATTAGAAGCAGTCTCTTAAAAGGAGTGCTGCTAATCTCATTTTGTTACCTGTATAAAAGACACCTGTCCACAGGAGCAATCAAACAATCAGATTCAAAACTCTCCACCATGGCAAAGACCAAAGAGCTGTCCAAGGATGTCAGGGACAAGATTGTATACCTACACAAGGCTGGACTGGGCTACCAAACTATCGCCAAGCAGCTTGGTGAGAAGGTGACAACAGATGGTGCAATAATTTGCAAATGGAAGAAACACAAAACAACTGTCAGTCTCCCTAGGTCTGGTGCACCATGCAAGATCTCACCTCGTGGAGTGTCAATGATCATGAGAACAGTGAGGAATCATCTCAGAAGTACACGAGGATCTTGTCAATGGTCTCCAGGTAGCTGGGACCACAGTCACCAAGAAAACAATTGGTAACACACTACGCCGACAAGGATTGAAATCCTGCAGTGCCCGCAAGGTCCCTCTGCTCAAGAAAGCACATGTCCAGGCCCATCTGAAGTTTGCCACTGAACATCTGAATGACACAGAGGAGGACTGGTTGAAAGTGTTGTGGTCAGATAAGAACAAAAGCGATCTCTTTGCATCAACTCAACTCGCAGTGTTTTGAGGAGGAGGAATGCTGCCTATGGCCCCAAGTACACCATTACAATTGTCAAACATGGTTGTGGAAACATTCTGCTTTGGGGGTGTTTTTCTGCTAAGGGGACAGGACAACTGCACCGCATCAAAAGGGACGATGGACAGGGAAATGTACCGTCAAATCTTGGGGTGAGAACCTTCTTCCCTCAGCCAGGGCATTGAAAATGGGTCGTGGATGGGTGTTCCAGCATGACAATGACCCAAAACACACGGCCAAGGCAACAAAGGAGTGGCTCAAGAAGAAGCACATTAAGGTCCTGGAGTGGCCTAGCCAGTCTACAGACCTTAATCTGATTGAAAATCTGTGGAGGGAGCTAAAAGTTCGAGTTGCCAAACGTCAGACACCAAACCTTAAAGACTTGGAGAGGATCTGCCAAGAGGAGTGAGCCAAAATCCCTCCTGAAATGTGTGCAAACCTGGCGGCCAACTCCAGGGAACGTCTGACCTCTGATCGCCAACAAGAGATTTGCCACCAAATACTAAGTCATGTTTTGTGAAGGGGATCAAATACGTATTTCCCTCAGGAACATGCAAATCAGTGCATCATTTGTTAGACACACATTTCTTCTGAATTTTTTGTTGCTACTCTCTCAGTGTTACAATACATCTACCATTCGATTTTTAGACTGATCATTTCTTTGTGAGTGGGCAAACATTCAAAATCAGCAGGAGATCAAATACTTATTTCCTTCACTGTATATACATACACGCACTTACACTATATTGCCAAAAGTATAGGGACACCCCTCCAAATCACTGGATTCAGTGTTCCAATCACCTCCATGGCCACAGGTGTATAAAGTCAAGCACCTAGACATGCAGACTGCTTCTACAAACATTTGGGAAAGAATAGGTCGCTCTGAGGAGCTCAGCGAATTCAAGCATGGTACCATGAAAGGTTGCCACCTGTGCAATAAGTCCATCCGTGACATTTCCTTGCTACTAAATATTCCACGGTCAACTGTTAGTGGTAGTATAACAAAGTGGAAGCAACTGGGAACAACAGCAATCAGCTACGAAGTGGTAAGCCATGTAAAATGACAGAGCGGGGTCAGCACATGCTGAAAGAAGATGCTACCATCACTCTATGCCCTTGGTTGTTGTGCACTTTTCCATGGAACACAGCTGATGACAGATGACTGCACAGGCCCATTGCCAGAGTCATGTGACCGCCATGACCAATCACAGCAGATCACATAACATGGATGGCTTCCTTTCATGTTAGCTGTGATTGGTCAAAGCAGTCAATACAGACAGCCCATCTGTATCATGTGATGAGCTCTGCCCAATCACAGCTAATCACAACAAAAGACAGAATGAATTAGTTTTGTTCAGTAACAATAGGAAAAAAAAAGGAAAAAAAAAAATGTAATAAAATTTTTTTTTTTCCCCCACACATACTGTCATTAGTGTCCCCGATTACCACCACATTAGTAATATAATGCTGCACTGGACTGGTGACAATATGAAAAAAAAAAAAAAAAAAAACTTTTTATTTCTTCATTTTCAAAAACAATTGTAACAAAAAATTACAACTTCAAAAAAACTCACCATGCCTCTTACTAAATACCTTGGACTGTTTATTTTAGAAAATGGGTCATTTTGGAGGTATTTGTACTATACTGGCGCTTTCAGGCCTCAAGAAATGAGATTGGCTGACAGTACACCAGGATTGATCGATTGTCAAGATATATATACCATGGTTTGTGGACTCTAACTTTCCTACAGACTAAATAATATATATTAATTTGGGGTATTTTCACCAAAGAAAATGTAGCAGAGTACATTGTGACCTTAAAATTATGATAAATAACATTTTGCAAATAAATGATTTAACAGAAATGAAGAAAAATACATGTTTTTCTTCCAAAAGTTGTGGGGGTTTTTTATTTAGCAAAAATTAAAAAACTCAGTGGGGATTAAATACCACCAAAAGAAAACGATTTGTGTGAAAATTTAAAAAAAAAAATTTTTTTATAGGTAGTGTTGCATGACCGCGCAATTTGTCAACACTGAAAGCTGAACATTGGCCTGGGCAGGAAGGGGGTAAAAGTGCCCGGTATTGAAGTAGTTTAAAGTTCATGTGCGTGTAAAAGCAGGTGTTCCAATACTTTTGGCAATATAGTGTATACAGCCAGGTCCATCGACACAATTCTAACATTTTTGGCTCTATACACCACCACAATGGATTTGAAATGAAACGAACAAGATGTGCTTTAACTGCAGACTGTCAGCTTTAATTTGAGGATATTTACATCCAAATCAGGTGAACGGTGTAGGAATTACAACAGTTTGCATATGTGCCTCCCACTTGTTAGGGGACCAAAAGTAATGGGACAATTGGCTTCTGAACTGTTCCATGGCCAGGTGTGTGTGTTATTCCCTGATTATTCCAATTACAATGAGCAGATAAAAGATCCAGCGTTAATTTTAGTGTGTTGTTTGCATTTGGAATCTGTTGCGGTCAACTCTCAAGATGAGATCCAAAGAGCTGTCACGATCAGTGAAGCAAGCCATCATTAGGCTGAAAAAACAAAACAAACCCATCAGAGAGATAGCAAAAACATTAGGCATGGCCAAAACAACTGTTTGGAACATTCTTAAAAAGAAGGAACGCACCGGTGAGCTCAGCAACACCAAAAAGACCTGGAAGACCACGGAAAACAACTGTGGTGGATGACCGAAGAATTCTTTCCCTGGTGAAGAAAACACCCTTCACAACAGTTGGCCAGATCAAGAACACTCTCCAGGAGGTAGGCAATATTATCTGCTCATATTCAGCCAAATGCTTCAGAACTCATTGGACGCCACTTCACAGTGCAGATGGACAATGACCCAAAGCATACTGCAAAAGCAACCAAAGAGTTTTATAAGGGAAAGAAGTGGAATGTTATGCAATGGCCAAGTCAAGCACCTGACCTGAATCCGATTGAGCATGCATTTAACTTGCTGAAGACAAAACTGAAGGGAAAATGCCCCAAGAACAAGCAGGAACTGAAGACAGTTGCAGTATTGACCTGGCAGAGCATCACCAGGGATGAAACCCAGCGTCTGGTGATGTCTATGCGTTCCAGACTTCAGGCTGTAATTGACTGCAAAGGATTTGCAACCAAGTATGAAAAAGTGAAAGTTTGATTTATGATTATTATGTCCCATTACTTTTGGTCCCTTAACAAGTGGGAGGCACATATACAAACTGTTTTAATTCCTACACCGTTCACCTGATTTGGATGTAAATACCCTCAAATTAAAGCTGGCAGTCTGCAGTTAAAGCACATCTTGTTCGTTTCATTTCAAATCCATTGTGGTGGTGTATAGAGCCAAAAATGTTAGAATTGTGTCGATGTCCCAATATTTATATACATACACACACACTTTTCAAATACATTTTTCATTTTTATTAAGGGACCACAATCTCTGTTGTCAGTTACATAAGGGATTTGGAAACGGTGGACAGACAACAGTACTGACAAGAACACCAGAGATTTCACACAAAGGAAAAATTACAAAGAGAACAGGATACTCTTTAACACAAGTACACAGTACAAGAGATATATATTAGGAATATGAAATGTTGTTGCAACAAATTTGTTAATACCACTTTAACAATGGTACATCGACAATAGTCTCCAAGGTATATTAAAAGTCAAATTGAGATTAAAAACGGATTGACTTTATTACTACTTTAACTACTCTGTGAAAGAACTACTGCCTCCGTTTATAACTACTCCATAAACCTTTTATTTAAGCCACATAAGAGTAGAGCAAAGTGTGTCAGAGAAGAAACTGGCTAAAGGTCTACACTGAACATGCCAGGTATGCTCCCTATTAAAACAAACACTAGCAGCTCGAGAGCATGAAGCCCTGCAAGCCACATCTAATGTTCCATTTCAAGTAGCTGTACGGATAGGCTAAGGTTCGTCATCTCCAACTCAACCAAGGTCTCACAAGAAGTGATTATTCTGCAGCCAATCAAATGTGTGTGGGAGTAAAGATGGTTTCTAGCAGGAAACCTAGCCTCCCACAGCCCTGTGCTTTTAATAGGCATCAATTCATGTCTTGAGCTGGGAGCTTAACACAAAGACCGTCCTCTGCACTGCAAGTGGAATCAGGCGCAGCAAAGCCCTGCACAAAGCCTTTCCACCCTCCATTTCCTGTGTGAGATGAACTGACAATAGCTCATCCTTTCTACTGCTCATATATGACATATACTGTAAATGCCAAACACCATTCAATCAAGGACAAAAGAATATAAAAAAACAAAGCTCTACTTAGAATGCACCTGTCATCTGCATACTGCACAGCAATTTAATGAGAAGGACTTGTTAAATAATCCAGATTATTCATGCATTATTAAACTAACCGAATAAAAACAAAATCAGATGTTCTATGCCATTATGACAGCAGCATAGCCAACAATTATAATATTCATGCTGTAATATACCTTTGATGTCCACAAATACAAATGGATCTGGGAGAAGGGGGGGGGGGGGCACTGCCTTGTCAACTTTTGGAGCTCACTAGAGTTTAAATATCTCTAATGCTTGGTACACACGAGACCGACATTCGGCCCGTGTGTACAGCAGCCTCTCCGGCACCTGTAAAATGGGCATGCAAGAAAAATATTTGCCAATTGGTATGACCAATGTGTTCTTCCGGGGGCAGGCCCCCATTCAGAACACAATAGTTCAGCGGGAAGGTCGCTGTACTAACATCGCAGTTAGTAAAAGACATCGTCGTGAGCTCCTGTTTTTTTTTTTTTGTTCAGCCCAGTGGGCTCATCATGTGTACCAGGCATAACAGTAAGATCTTTGTTCCACATTTGTCAAATGTGTCTGTCCACCTGAGGGTGTTCCCACTCATTTTTGTGCATCCCAACTCCTCCTGTTACAATAATATCACGTAAAAGTAATCAATTGGGAACAGAGAGAATTCTTCATTGTGGAAAGGCAGGTGTGCAGACCTAGGAACCTGTATGCAGATGGTTTACCAAATGAGTCACCAAAAGATAAAAGAAATGTGAAATTAGGTCAATCCCCAATATCTACCAAAAAATGTAGAAAGTCCGCTTTGGGTTTACGGACGGATATTTAGTGTGGGTATACATGTACCGAAATTCAATCCGTGTGTACCCCTCTCTGTTCCACAGAGGCCCATCATTAGACCAAATTCTGTTTACCGGTCCTGCTAGAAAACTAGAATTCGATCAGCCTGCTCGATGGGCGAGGGAGAGATCCCTGCATTTCACATAGTTTGTTTTTTCTATTCAAAACTACTGGTTAAATGAAAAAAAAAAAAAAACCCAGTGTATACCCAGCTTAAGAGTCACACTGCGGTGTTTGCAGAGGAAGAGATGTAGATTTTCTAAGACCCCATTCACACACTATGATATTTTGAATCACAGGCAGAATCACCACAATTCTGCCCACGATTTCAAGATGCTTAGATAAAATAACAAATTGAACAATAGTGTCTTCAGGTGGCATTCATTTTAATGGCACCTAAAAACACGGGGCAGTTGTGGTGCAATAAATCGCGCTGCAATCTCGGCAAACTGCAGTAGTTTAGGAGCTTCTTTTGGGCGACATGCTTCGTGTGATGTGATTTCTCGTGCATCAATTGCAGCAGAACTGCACCGCGTTTCCAGGTGCCATTAAAATGAAGGCCACCTGAATACGCTGTTGTGCAATATGTTACTTTAGCATGAAGGATGTCCGATCGGCTGCACTCCAAACAATCCACTTTATTGAACAAAGATAAAACCAATACAGACAATGGAAATACAGTGGGGACTGGCAGGTAAACAAGTTTCACGCTATAGACAGCACTGTAAAGCGTGTACCTGCCAATCCCCCACTGTATTTCCACTATCTCTGTTGGTTTTATCTTTGTTCAATAAAAGTGGATTGTTTGGAGTGCAGCTGATCGGACATCCTTTGTTCTCATTTATGCAGCACACAAGCTGGGCTAACACCTACTGGAGGAGTTGTGCTTGGAGATTAGGAGTCTCTCTACCTTGAGCAGTGGTAAACATATATTTTACTTTAGCAGACTGAATTACAATTCTGGTCGTGATACACAACATCATAGTGTGAATGGGGCCTTAAGTTAATACAATGTTTATATTACTAGTTTCTTAGTGTCTTTCATAAAGTATTCAGTTACTTGTTGAAAACATTACATGAATTTCCGAGGATAATTAACCTACTTGCATTTAGAGGCAAATGTACACTAAACCAACAATTACTTTTTTTTTCTTCAATGATTAACTGAAAGCAGATATTTAGTCACCTACACAAATGTAACTCTGACATCCAGTGGGGTCAACTAATGCAGGCCATAGACGGGTCGTTTATCGACTGAACTTTCGCCCGAAAGAATAATTGGCCGATATTCACACCGTTAGTAGGCAATGTCGTCGGCCGATTTTCGCGGTTCCTTCTCGTTTCTTTTATCGGTCATTCCGGGGTCATGCTGGAAAATCTACGAAACACAGCCGATTTTTGTAAGCATTGGTGGCAACAGAACGACCGATTTTTCTTTTTTCGGCCGACAATTTGGCCGATAAACGACCAGTCTATGGCCTGCATAACTCATGCGGACAATGCTGAAGCAATGAATAAATGTGTACTTTCCCAGCACAACTACATTTTTCCCCTGGACTCCTATGTATTGTGTGCATGTCATTGCCCTATCACTGGCATCAGAGAGATAAAACAGTAAGAGGCCCATGGTGTCTGGTATCGTACATTGCAATATCAGGTAGTCAGTGATAATCTATGAGACCATGAAGACCATTACATAAATGACTAAGCACCATGGCTGGTGAGTGAGAGACAATATTTGGTGTTTAGTCTATTTACAAACCACTGCATAAAAACAATGTAGAGGATTTATAGACTTCACTAGCGACCTCCAGATCCCATTAATTCTTATTGAATATATCATCTTTACAAATGACCAGTCTTTAATTCACTATTGTAACAGCTGCAAGAAAACTAGCATTTTGCAGTGCCCTTTAAAGTAACCTGCAGTGACGCCACTTTGGAGGATGCCATTGGTGAGACTTCCTCTAAAAATGCTAAAGTGCCTGGTTCTGAGGATGGGAGTTGCTTAGCAACACGCTACATTGTAAATACAGGTGTAACATGTATCCTGTTGCAAAGGGTGAAACTAGCCTTTAAAGAGGAGTTTGATCAGACTCTGGACAAGGCATCTGAACTCTGAAAACTATTCAACACTGCAGCAGAGTTCATAAGGGACAGATGTAAAAAACAAGAGAATGACATTTTAAGATTGCATACTGTTAGATTTGTCTAGTTATAGTTCATGTCCTGGAAAGGAGAGATGGAATTTGGTTGGTAACAGGATCACTGTTCCCTGTGCACCCATCTACATACATCAGTCATGTGTGCGATTAAAGTGGATACTCACTGTAATTTTGGTTGCTTTATTAAGGACATTAACCCATTCTACTAAATCTTGCTGATCATTGGCTTGCAGGAAGTATTTTCTCATGCCAGCATTCATTACTGGAAGAGAACAGCAGACAGGATGAGAACAGTTATTCAACACATCAGCAGCACAGATCAATTATACAAATATTGCCTACAGTTCCAAGCAGTAATGGTTTCAATCTATCGTTGTTCTAGAAACAGTATCCTGGAAACATTTTAATTGGAGCCAAATCTTGCAAACTTCTAGCACAACATTAAGCTATGTTCATCTCACTGCTGGCGGCAATTGAACCTTCTTGGCATATAAATACTTCTCAAGCATGCGATTCAAACTGTCAGCAAACATACAAATCTGCATGGTCAGTTCTGAGTGGAACTATAATTTTAAAGGGGGTATGGGTCCTAAACGTTCTGGGGTAACTGGCACCACATCTCCACAGAGTAAGAACGTATAGTCTTTCCAAACCGTTATACTATAAATGTGCATATGGAGCCAATCATGTGCAGCTGAGCACAGCCACAAAGCAGAACCAGAAACCTCAACCAACAGATATTTTCTTTTCCCATAAGGACTCTTTTTGCTGTAAGGTTAACTGGTTACTTCAAATGAAAATTAACTCGCTCTCAAGTTGCCACGCATTTTAATCTGATAGTACTCTTTACTTCGAAGTTACCAAACATTAAAGTGGAAAAGGTATTTACATTGGCCTCTTGGCTTAAGAAGGTGAATTCTAGGAAAAAAACTTGGAACAAAAAAAATCTGCTGGATTTCAAAAGTAGTTCTAGTTTAGGAGGTGTCTGCCACCTCTTGAATCTTGTGTTTACAATTAACACTTTTTAATGAGCGCCAATAGTATAGCTTTCACTATGCTTCCATTGCTCCAACAGAAGACTTGTGACTTTTAAAACATAATTCGCACTATCCATATCTTCCCCTCTCTTGTCAATTCCCAGAATGCTTTGCAATTTGTGAGGCAATGCATTCTCCGTTATCGCCTTTGAATTATGGGGGATTAAACCTTATTTATGTAGAGTGTTCTACACTGCATTTGGAGGACCAGCCTGCTGTCTCCAACCTCAGATTTTTAAGCGCTACCACAGCTGCCAAGATTCTCCACCTGCTATTTGAGATATTCATCAATATGCGACTGAAGCTGCCTGAAGAGTCCTGAGCTCCACCAGAGAGCATGGTTGAATGGTCCACACTCTGAGAGGGAATTTGTTAAATGGTGGACAATTCCCACTGTAGTTGAACCAGTGTACCACCTTAACAGGAACACCACTAGACAGGTGGAATACAGGTTTACCTTTAAACATTCTATTGATAGGCAGTTAAAATTCCTCACAAAGTCCCTGTTTAAACCAGATGGTTCTGTTCTTCATCCCGAGTATGCAGTGACCTTAAAGTGGTTCGAAACGCAAACTTTTTTTATCTTAATGTATTCTCTCCTTCCAATACCTTTCCACCACTCCTTTCCCATACTCCATTTCTAAACACTTACCTGATCAGCGCTACTGCACTTTTTTGCTGACCACAGAGGAGACTCAGAGCAGTGACAGCCATTGGCTCATCCTCCTGCTGTCAGTCAAATCCTGCGGGGGGGTTTGCACTAGCCAAGCCACATTGTTTATCTATAGACACAAACAGCCCAGCTCTGAAGTGTGCACCCATGGATGTCCCCCACAGCACATGGCATGCTGAGGGGGCATTCTGAAAAAGAAGGAACAGAGAGCACCAGTGGGGGACTCCAGAAGAGGAGATAAGTGGCCAATGTCTGCAATATTGTTTCAAAAAAAAAAAAAAAAACAGCACTTTTAATATTGCTTTAATCTACCAACTGTGCTAGGGATCTCCTCAGGATCTGCTCAGGGGTAGATTCCTGTGTCAGAGGGCATTATGGAGCAAATGTCTGGAGCCTTACGCTTCAGCTGTGATGAGTGATGTCCATTCAGATGTGCAGGCTTCTCTGGTTGCATTGCAAGGACATTAATGATATATCCAAATATCGTCTTCCAGATCAATAATATAACAGAGCACAAAGAATATTCCTGCCCAACATAGGAGGATGATCAAATCACACCCATCTCCATCTACTCCATCCAGCTACTTCACAGCTGATTGTGTTTAATTTATTGCTCTTTTGTCAACCTACATATAATCTTATGTTTAAAATTGCACTGGATCACGACTGCAAAAATCTTTAACTGTGTGCAAGAGTACCCTGGAGAAATAATGATAGACTTGTTCATATTGTGTGTGGTGACCTATGTCTTTCCGCACTGGATCAGCACAATAGAAAAAACAATTGTTTTCTATGTGCCTTGTTCATACCAAAAAAAGCTGGTGTAATGTGCAGTAGAACAGTAAGGCTGCTTTCACACGTGTGGACCGTTTGTCCGTTTTCCATCCATCTCTTGAAGGATGAAAATTAGACATCAATGCATCTCTGTGGAAAAACAGGTGTAAATGGATGATCATCTGTTCACATCCGCATCCATCAACAGCCATTTTTTTAACGGAACAAATAGGCCTTTGTTCTGAAAAAAACAGAACAGACGAAAAACAGATGTAAACAAACGATCGGTAGTGGATGTAAAAAAACTGATGGAAAAACATCCATTTTTTTCTTTCTGAATGAAAAGGGCCTAAAACGCCGCATATTTGCATGTTTCCACAGCGCACTGGATGGCAATCAAAGCTGAAATACGCATTGCACTACTCACACATGGACTTCACAATGATGACTGCAAGCATGGAAAAACACAGAGTTTTACCATGCAGGCTAGTGTGAACTGACCCTTAAAAGCAAATCGTGGGCATACCAAACTTTAGGGATTTTTTTTCCAGTTTATGCACTTTGTAGGGATTTTTTTTCCAGTTTATGCACTTTGTAGGTTATTTGACTTTTACAAAAAAAAAAAAAAAACCCCCTTTTTCTTACACTGTGAACATAAATAATTACTAAATGCAAAATCTCATAAAATTCAGCAATTTATTGAAAAACATCAATCACCAAAAGGTCCAGGGACCCTTAGGTGTCTGCACCTGATCACGGACAGTATTATTTTATCTTTGTAATATTCACTTAATATGTTTTTATTAAGGTTCTATGCTAGTAAATATGCCAGTGACAAAACATCTGTCGGAGTTGCAAATAGAACTCTTTGTTTTCTATTTTCATTTTTTAAACTCTCCTTCAATGCAGGAAGTTACTTTCTAATTTAAGTTTAAAAAGTTCCAATTAAAGGAGAAGTACAGCCAAAGCCTGTTTGGCTGCAATTCTCCTGTGGATCACAGAAGTGCAATTCTGCACTCCTATGACCACTTTCAGCTGACAGCGAGCTGAAGTCCGCTGACTTCACTCAGCCACACCAGAATGGGGAAAGATCCAAACTTTAAAGTCGGGATGCATCCAGATGTGTGGAGTGGCACCTGGCTCAGCCTCTCAACAATCCACTGAGAGCCTGAGCCAACCGCTCCCGCCCTCTCCACAGCCCAGAGCTCCAGTGAGGGGGGTTGGGGCAAAGAAGAGATTGGTGGCTGACAATCACCAGCTCGGAGAACGGAGCGATCAGTGGTGTTTGACCTCTCAGTAGTCTTTAGGGACGGAGACACGATTTCTTAAAAAAAAAAAAAAAAAAAAAAGTCTAAACTTCTCTTTTAAGAGAAGTAGGGCATTTTCTTCTCTATTTATACTTGCCTAGGTGGATGCAGCATCGGTCCAATGCTGCATCTGTCCCCCGTCAGCTCCACGGGTGAGAGCTCCAAGATCTCACAGGTGATTGCCGAGTTCCCACAGCTGTTCTGAGCAGAGAGTGAGGCTGTCGGTCACCGCTCTCTGCTCAGCCCCCCCCTCCCCCCACGCTCACTGGAGCACTGGGCTGTGGAGAATGAGGGCTGAGCAAGGTGCCACTCCAGATTCTGGGGTGGATCCCGATTCTGAAGTCTGGATCTTATCCCAACTTGGATCGGCTGAGTGACGTCAGCTGACAATGGACTTCAGTCTGCTGTCAGCTGAAAATAGGTCACAGGACTGCAGAACAAAAAAGCTTTGGCTGTATTTTAATTCATTTAAAAATGGTGAAAACTAAAGCTAGTCATACACACATAGGGGTTGATTTACCAAAACAGAAGAGTGCAAAATCTAGTGCAGCTGTGCATAGCAGCCAATCAGATTCTAACCTCAATTGTTCAATTAAGCTTTGACAAAACAAAAAAAAAAAAAACAAACAAACCTGGAAGCTGATTGGTTTCTATGCAGAGCTGCACCAGATTTTGCACTCTCGAGTTATAGTAGACCCCATGGGATTTCTTTTGTGAGCCTGTGAGCTAAATGGTGTGCAGATTTTAGAACACCTGAAGAGTGACTGCAGCTTATTGGTTGCAGTCACTGTTCAGCTGAAATTTTTGCACCTGGACCCTTCAATTTTCATATTGAAGTTTGTTGAGTCAGGTGGTACCTATACAACCACTCACAGACTGAAGTTCGGTGACTCAGCAGAACGGCCAACATTCAATTCGATCCATGCATGGCTAGCTCAAAGGAGAAATACAGCCAAAGCTCTTTTGGCTGTACTTCTGTGGATCACAGGAGTGCAGTTCGTAATGCTCTCCTGTGACCTGTTTTCAGCTGACAGCAGGCTAAAGCCCGGTGTTGGCCGACGTCATTCAGCAGGTCCAGGCTGGGGAAAGATCCCGACTTTAAAGTCAGAATCCACCCCACAGTCCAGAGTGGCACCTGGCTCAGCCTCTCAATAAACCACTGAGAGCCTGAGCCAGCAGCTCCCTCCACAGCCCAGTGCTCCAGTGAGCACGGAAGGCAGAGTAAACAGTGGTGACTGACAGTCACCGCTCTGCTCACAGCAAGGGTGAGAACTCAGTTATCAGAGGTCATGTGATCGCTCAGTTCTCACACTTAGAGCCAATGGGACAGATGCATCTAGGTACATATGTTTTGTAGGAAAAAAAACCCACCATTTCTCTTTTAGTGAAGAACTCCAAATTCTACTTAGCAAAAATGACTTCGGTTCACCTTGGTACAATTCAATTCTTCATAAGCAATCTCAGTAGGGCC